TTGAGATTTTTTGATAACTGTTCTATACTTTTATGTATTTTAGATGTAGTTTTTTGAAGTACCGTAGGAACTTATTCGATTTTGATCACTGTTCTATTTATTTTAGACGTAGTTTTTTTAATTACTGTACAAACTTATTCGAAGAAGAAGAAAGAGATTAAACAATTTAGAATGGTATGAAAGAATTATGGAGAAGTTGTACATATTTATTCTAAAATATTTGAAATCGAAAACCCTAATCTAGACATCACAACTACCGTCATTCCATTAGACATTCTATTTATTAATATTTTTTGTTAGATTTGACTAAATATCAGTTTTATTAAATTTGAAAAACGGTTTGATTGACAACATTAAACCACAATAATTTAGAGCTGTTTTAAGTTACTTTAACACATCATCAGATAAGAACCAATAAAAAAATGATATGTAATTAAAATATAGGGTTAAAACGTTTTTTTGTAGCTGAAACTCATTTTAGAGCTGACACGTAAATAAAACATTCTGAAACTCGCTGTGGAACTGACACCTAAGCAAATCATTATACAAATAAATATATAGATTTGCTTTCCTTTATTTTCAAAGACTGCATCATTTTTGTTGTGCTTTTCTTCACAATCCCAGCCCAAGAAAATTTGGAACTTTATGATATTTTTTTTGGGCCCCTTAATAGAATCAACAGTAAAATTTGAATATATTAATCTCTATTTGCATTCAAAAGTTAAAAGTTTGGACAAAATATATAAAAAAAATATCTGAAAATAGGACACCTTTTCAGAACCAAATTTGTACTTTTAAAATATGTAGAAAATATCCAAAACCTCTTTACCACTTAAGACCACCAATTGTTTTTTCTCTATTTTTCTCTTTACACATTTATCTTCTCTCTCCTCTTTTCACGTTTTCTCTCCCCAAAAAATATATATTGCTTTCTTTGGCTTTACTCTCTTCCAAAACATTGATGTTAGTGATTTGATGATGAATTGTTCGCCAACATTTAAAACTATTTCATTAGTAGTCATCTACTGGAGTACATGCATAAATATGGTGCTTTAATGCTTCAATTTTTTTCTTATGTGTATATTGTTAGTGCTTTGATGATGAACTAATCGTCTACATAAATACGACTATTTTGTCTGTAGTCACCTATTTAAGTATCTAAATAATTATGATGCTTTAATGCTTCAAAAATTTTTCTTATATAATTATCATTAGTGATTTGATGATGAATTAGTCATCTACATTTATACGACTATTTCGTCAGTAGTCACCTATTTAAGTATCTAAATAATTATGATGCTTTAATGCTTCAAAAGTTTTTCTTATATAATTATCATTAGTGATTTGATGATGAATTAGTCATCTACATTTATACGACTATTGAGTACCTATATAACTATGATGTTTTAATGCTTTAGTTTTTTTTTCTTATGTGTTTATCATGAGTGATTTGATAATGAAATAGTCGTCTACATTTAGATAAATATTTTGTCAGTAGTCATCTACTCGAGCACCTACACTAACATAACTATGATGATTTAATGCGTCAAATTTGTTGTTTTTTTAATGTGTATACATTTATAATCACCTACATTTATACGACTATTTCGTCAATGGTCATCTACTCGAGTACTTATATGACTATAATACTTAAATGCTTTAAATTTTTTTCTTATGTTTTCATCGTGAGTGATTTGAAGATGAATTAGTCATCTATATTTAGACATGTCCTCGAACACCTACATTAACCTAACTATGATGCTTTAATGGTTCCATTTTGTTTACTTATGTGTATACAGTTATAGTCATCTACATATATATAACTATTTCTTCAGTAGTCACCTACTCGAGTACCTATATAACTATAGTGATTTGATGCCTCAATTTTTTTTTTTCTTATAAGTTTATTGTGAGTGATTTGATGATGAATTAGTCTTCTACATTTAGACAACTATTTTTTCAGTAGTCATTTACTCGAGCACCCACATAATCATAACTATGATGCTTTAATGTTTCAAAAAAATTTCCTATATGTTTATCGTTTGTCGTACATAAATCCTCTATTTTTTGGTGGCTATCTGTATATGTAGTCACATACAGGAGTTGTTTGTTCGAGATCTTAATGTTAGTGATATAGTGATAAATTCATGAAATAATTGTTGTGCATGTTTGTAAATGTAGTTTAATATTAGATCCTTACTAAATGAGTAGGTAACTACTTTGTCCGATAGTTTTTGTATATGTGTGTGAATATAGTTGACTATTTAGTTCGGTGATGTTTTTACTAATGATTGAATCTTGCACATTTTTGTGAATGTAACTAACAGTTAGATCTAGTGATTTAAAGTTGTCATGATAAACATTTGGTTTGTTAAAAGAGAAAAAAATAGTCATCTGATAATTTATGTACATATGTGTGAATCTAGTTGATTATTTAGGTAATGAATGGTGATTGCAAAAGTGCGTTTTTCGAAAATGGTTTTTAAAAACCGCACCTTGTTTACCAATCAACCGCTTTTTACAATAAATGGTGTTTTTTAAAAAATGAATAGTGGAATTATCCAGTGGATAATAGAGAAATCCGCACTTCAAAACGAAACACTGCTATTATCCTGCGGATTTCTTAAAAAACGCACCTAATCTATAAATTTTGAATTATTTTTAAATCATAAATTATTCCCTATATATATCTATGTTCATTTCCCTACAGAATCAATCGCTTATATACACAAATACAAAAAAAAGGCAGATAAAAAAGACAAAAAAGACAAATTTTTTTTCTATACTAATTAAATATATTTTATGAAAAAACTCAGATTAATCTTATTTTATATTATTGCATATATCAACTAACTACTTGAATCATATTTGCATAACAATAAAATTAGTGTTTATTCTAAATTTGATTAGGTTTAAATATAAAATCTACTCATGTTTTAGATTAAAATATAAATTGATATGTTATTATATTTACAATTCACAAACTAAATTGGAATGAATAAAATTCATGCTGGGCTTATAAGATATATATATATATATATAAAATAACTAAATATAATTAATTTCTAATATTTACTAAAATAAATACATCACAGTATAATAGTTTAATAAATTATATGAGTTAATATCAATGACTTATAATTTACAAATTGCTAAATTAGGAACATCAAATAAATAGGGTTGTATGTTTTCAACACTAAGAAATGATCAGTTAAATGGCTAAAAATGATAGAAAATGATATCTTCTCTTAAAAAAATATAAGTTATTTTTTTTGTGTTTTTCCAAAGTATATGAAGATTTATAAGTGTAGAATAATTAGAAGAATTATCGTTGATGTGTCCTTATGTGTATTAGGTTTGCTGTATTTTTTTATTACCATTTTTTAAAAAAAAACTTTTGCGTTTTAGTTTTTTGGTATTACTTAATTACAATGGCAGTTAGTAAAAAATATAAATTATAGTCTAAACATTACTATTAAATAAGAAAAATTGAAATACTTAGAAATATATAATACTTTCGTTTTTAAAAATCTTAAAACTAATATTTAAATTTTATTAATTGTCGATATGTCGGGTAATCGGCGATGCAATGCGAATTCCTCCAGACAGACAAGATCAACTCGTCCGGTTGAAATTTTAACTCCTCCCACGAAAACAACTGCTAGGGTAAATATTACATTTTTCTTTTCACATTTATATATTAATCATATATAATATCATAAGTAAAAATGTAATTTAATAAATTCTGTAGAACAAAGACAAATGCAAATGGTCGTATATATAAGAAAAAACATTAATTTAATTATTCAACGAAGCAATTGCTATGGATAATTATACTCTCAAGATTCCTTCGTCTGCTGGTAGAGAGTATATGGTTCAAAAAGTTTAATCGAGCGTTCAACTTGAATATAACTTATGCATTCTTCAAAAACAAGCTTGATGAATTAAAAAAAAAAAGATACAAGAGATGGAAGGCTCTTATGAATTATACTGGTATCTCGGTTGATCCTGAGACATATATGATATATGCATCTGAAGAATGGTGGAAGGAACGTGAATTCGTAAGTACATTTAATCCTTTTAATAATGAAAATATGTATTCAATGTATGGAAATAAGAAATTTATGATTTTAAATTTGTAGGGCTGCAATTTAACCGACAGCTGCCAGAGTTTTGGGATGTGATGGTAAAATGACTTATATTATATGATGTTCACTCACAATCTCAACACTCTTCACGACAAATAAGAGAAGAACTGATCAACGAAGATGCACTTGATAAAGAAGGCTTTGATGACTCAGACACCGACAACGGTGATATGCAACAAACACAAGTTCCTGAGACACAAGAGGAAGAAGAAGTCTATCATGTAACCGTTGACGATGATACACGCCATTCGAATGAATATAGAAGTCAACCAGTTCAAAATTTTGCTCGTAGAGGCCAACGAGGGAGGGTCAACTCGCAGTCTAGCGTTCGACAAGAGATTAGTTCACAAAGATTAGGTGGTAGCTCACAGATTTCTGTTTCGAGTGGTTCATGAGGAGGTCGTAGAAGACAATCATTCGAGAAAACCATACAAGAAACCATTGCAGGATATACAGAGTTTCAATGACAAAGTTTCCAATAACTTCTTCTAGGTGCTTTTGACCAAGCTGACTACGATGAATGGAAAAAGGCAGAAACCATATTCCTTGCGCTAAAAATTCCAAATGGCACTAAATTTTATTGGGCATGCCTTAATACATTGAAGGAGTTAGTATTTCGGCGTAAGTATTTTATTGATATAGTGGAAGGCATAGATGAGGATAAGCTACAACTGCTAGAAGCTATGACTTGTGTATCACGGAACAACCAAGATGTGCCAAAACAGTTAGGTTCCGGCCAATCATTTGGAAGTCCAAATTCAGGAGGGTTATCATCTGGTAGTCCATCTTCCGGAAAGTAAAATTCAGGAGCATTATGGCCCTCCAACTTTAAACATTGGGGTACACCACCGAATGCTCAACAATGGGGTTCACCTCAACCGTATCCACAATGAGGCACACCACCAAATGCACAACAATGGGGCATACTACCAAATGTGGAACAATGGGGCACACCCCCATATGCTCAACAATGGGGGCTTCAACCGAACTTTCAACCTTAGGTTTCACCATCAAACTTTCACGCAAGAGGTGAGACACAAAACTTTCAACAAGGCGGCTCATAGGGAATGACTCCAGCCCATGTTCAATATGGATTTTCTGTTGGAGGTCAAGTAGACAGTACGAGAACTAACGAACAAGAAACTTTAAGAGCTTCACCAAACGCTCAACCAACAACATCACGCAGTGTTGATTTCACAAATTATTCTGAAACTGGACATCAAATACCTAGACCAGGAGGTATATTTAACATATGGGATACTCCGCAAGGAACAAACACAAATGTAAACGAAAATTTGTCAAAATTGTTCTGAAGATGAAGATTAGTCTGTAACAATTGTGTTTAAATATTCTCGTTTATGTAATGAAATATTTAATATTTTTATTTTTTTATTTCAACTTTTTGTGTCCTTGTTTAATATACATTTATATTTTCTAATGATGTTTTTTATTTCGTGTTTAAAATTTCAGATTTTTTGTTTATGTCAGTTACGATCACAAGGCATCCACAACCTAAGTTACGAAGAGAGAATTGAATTGTGGAATTTGGAAAATGAGCAATTTATGGAGTTAATAATTCAGCCAAGTTTGCATCATCAATATTTTAAAAGAGCACCAGAACTAACAGACCGAGGTTTGGATTGGGAAAATATTTGGCCTCGACTACAACAAGATGCTAGGGCTTATCTTCAGTTACTGCGAATGTCAATGCCATGTTTTATAATGTTCTGTGATACGCTACAAAAAAATTACGGTCTTCAACCAACATTAAATATGAGCATTGAAGAAAGTGTGGCTATATTTTTACGGATATGTGGGCACAATGAAGTTCAAAGAGATGTTGGTTTGAGATTTGATCGAAATCAAGAAACTGTACAAAGAAAATTCATTGAAGTTCTTAAGGCTACTGAATTACTTGCATGTCATTATATTAGAACTCCAACAAGAGAACACCTTGGCAGAATTCCAGAAAGACTTATACAAGATCGAAGATATTGGCCATATTTCAGTGGATTTGTTGGAGCTATGGATGGAACTCATGTATGCGTAAAAGTGAAACAAGAATTACAAGGAATGTATTGGGATCGACATGATAATCCATCCTTGAACATCATGGCAATATGTGATTTGAATATGTTATTCACATATATTTGGAATGGAGCACCAAGATCATGCCACGATACATCAGTTTTGACAATGGCACAACAAAGTGACTCTGAGTTCCCTTTGCTGCCACCAGAAAAATATTATCTTGTTGATTCTGGTTATCCAAACAAACAAAGATTTGTGGCTCCATATATATCATCACGAAACAGAGTTGTGAGATATCATATGGCTCAATTCAATTTTGGTCCTGCTCCTCGGAATAAACAAGAACTCATTGTTGTTTCTAAGTAACAAATATTCTAAAGGGGCCCTGCTAGAGCGAGCTGATTCGGCACGTTACAAGCCGGCGAGTTCTAACTGGGCCTAGTGGGCTTCATTGGGTCAAAGGGGAACGCGAATTCACTTGGGGGTGTGGGGGGGGGGGGGGTTTCCTTATTGGGCTAGACTTAGGTTTTCCTTTTTCTAGGTGATTTGGGAGTCGGATTTTTTTGGGGCTATAAATACAAGGCTTAGTGGTTGTAATTATTCATTCACACAAATAATAAGAAAACCCTAAACGGGTGTTTGCCTCAATTTGCGATTTCTCTCTTAAGTTTATTGCTTTCTTCGTGCTTGATTCACAACAAGTGGTATCAGAGCTCAAGGTTTTCCACGTGCCATGACGAAAGGAAATTCTCTCAAGTTCAATGTTCCTAGGTTCGATGGGAAAGGGAATTTCAGTCTGTGGCAAAGTCGAGTCAAGGATGTGCTGACGCAGCAGGGTATGAAGAAGGCGCTGTTAGAGAAGAAGCCGGACAAGATCAAGAAGGATGATTGGGACGATATGCAGGATCAAGCTGTTTCGACGATTCGACTTTGTCTCTCTGATGATATCACCAATCAGGTGATGAACATCACGACTTGCAAGGAGTTGTGGGATAAGTTAGAGAAGATGTACATGTGATAACACCGTATTTTGACCACTTTTATGGATCATAATTATGTCTTATGCAGGTGTTTTAACTCTGTTTTCAATGGTTTTTAAAGTGTTTTCAATGTTTTAGAGTTTCAAAAGACTTTTCAGGAAACTTGGGCAAAAGATATGCAATTTGGAACAAATGAGCAATTTTGGAAATGCAGACCGCCAGAAGTATGACAAGCGATGAAGGCTTTCTCACCGTCTGATCACCCCAAAAATTTGAGACAACATATAGGATCCAACCAGCTTTCTAATGCACTTGGTTTGGAGACAATCCAACGGTGAGATCTTCAGATATTCCCGATGTAAGAATGATAGAAAATGCAGTTCCGGAAGAGAGCTGTGTGTCGGGACTGCGGCCAACACCTGTTTTCCCGCGGGTAGAGCCACCGCGACTGCGGAACTTGGTCGTTCAATTTTCAGACGACTTAATTAAAGCCCAAATCAATTCCTTTCGTTCTTTTTGAAGCCCTAAGTGTCCAGGACCACTCCAGAAGCTATAAATACCCCCTTTAGGTCATTCTAAAGGGTGTGTTCTTTTCTGTTCTCAAATTTTCGTGTGAGACTCAAACCCTAGAGAGGGAGGCCGCCGTTTTTGAAGGAGGAGCCGCCGCTGGAGGAAGACATCGCGCCTCCATCTGCTTCTCTGTTATTCGTTTTTCTTCCTTCTTTTCTTTAATTTCCTGCACTTTCAATACTCTGTGATGATTGTTTACAATAAGTTTGAGTAGTTACCCAGTTGGGTTTAAAGGGATTGTTCAAAGGGAATTTCATGTGTCTTTGCTTATGAATCGATAGATTTAGGATTATTAATCTTCTAGATGTTCTTTATTTGCCTTTAATCTTACTGCGTGATTCTTTGCTGGCCACTTAGAAGCCGATCTGATATGATATGTTGCGAAAGTATTCATTGATTGTCTAAACTAGGGTGAAACGAGCAATTCTTCTATATGAGTGGAAACCTACCTGTAGTTGAGTTGTGAATGTTGATGAGTCTTGTTCTGCTATTGCATCTTCTCTCTTCCAGGATCAGAGTGGAAACCTACTGATCAGGGTTGCGAGAGATAGTTGTTTAGTGCTGCGAAAGTAGGCTATTCATACTTCCGTGCCTCGAGTTCTAGAACATACGTAGTTGATTACCTTTATCATTTGTTTAAAATCGACATAGCTTAGTCCATGAACCCCTGCGAAACCCCTTGAGCCCCAACGTTTGTCTTTCATTGCTTATAACCTTCAATTTTAGTTTGCTATTCATTCGCTTGTTCTTTGCTTCAAATCGCCTCTTGTTTAATCGCCTACTACTTGCTTTCGTTTGCTTTCGTTTTTGTCAATTGCTTTTTAGTTTTTAATTGCTTTCTAGTTTAGATTTAGTGACAACCAAAACCCAAAACCAAAACCCAAATTGTTTAGTTCTAATCTGATTTAAGCATAGCCGTGAATTCGTACTGAAACAACTAAGTCTCTGTGGATCGATACCCTAAGTACTACATCGCACATCTGTGCACTTGCAGAAATTTAGGGGTTATAAATTTAAAACCTGAAGCTTAGTAAAACAAAAACCGACCAACCCCGTTTACAATCGCATCAAGTTTTTGGCGCCGTTGCCGGGGACTTTGATTTGTTTCGTTGCGAATCCCAGCTTAAATCCATTAGAACACTTGTTTACTTTTACTTTTCTTTTGAAACTTTCAGGTTTCTCTGTGATGAGAGGCCAGGAACATGTTCCCGAGACTCTTGGTGATCCACCATATCGTGTGGATGGTGATCCAATCAATGATGACCTAACTGATGATGAGTTTGAAGAACCGATCTATGATGACAATGAGCTAATCAGATCGACAAAACGTGAAGATTCGAGAAATTCTTGGGAGATCGAAGAGCTATTCAACCAGCCTTACCTGAGGATGGCAAAACCGAAATTAAGGTACCCTATATCCATTTAGTTCAGCAAAATCAATTCCATGGTTACAATTTCGAACACCCGATTGACCATATCGAGACGTTCGAAGAATTATGTGCAACCATTACAGCAAATGGGGATTACCACAAGTGTAGTCTTTTCCCATTCTCTCTTAGAGATAATGCCAAAAAATGGCTAAAATCTTTGCCACCTGCTTCACTAAAAATGTGGGCAGCGTGTAGAACTTCTTTCCTAAATCGTTTTTACACTAGAAATCGTTCAAATCTCTTAAGAAACAAGATAAGAACTTTTAAACAAAAAGAAGATGAAGATCTTTTAGATACTTGGGAAAGATTTAGGGAATACCAAAGAGATTGTCCACACCATGGATATACCGAGGAATACCTGCTGGGTATCTTCTATCGCGGTATAACTCCAGAGTTACGACACTCTTTCGACACAGCAAGTAATGGAGATTTCTCAACTAGATCTGTAGAAGATGCTCACGTTTTCATTAAAAATTTCGCAAACAGCATCCGAAATCAAGTAACCTTTGGTAATTCTGCACTTCCTGAGAAGAAAGAAGAAATTTCGGAAGTTATGAAGTGTCTCCATTACATAATGAGTCATCTTGGATTGCAACAACCAAATAAGGTACACAATACGTGTAACTTTAACGGCTGGGACAACCCAATGGATTCTTATGGTCCAGGGATGGTTAACACTGCAAAAGTCTATCAAATTCAAGATTTTCCATTCGTTTCTAATCACCGCGGGTCCATTCATCCGGACCGCGGCAAACCAAGCTTTCACCGCGGTCGTGATGATGCTGACCGCGGCCAAGACCTGTTTCACCGCGGTCGCCAGCCTTCTGACCGCGGGAAACCGTCTTCCGAACTTGCCTGGAAACCACCTTCCGAACCAATCTTGGCTATTCAATCTAATCCTGTTTCATATCCTAGTTTTCCCTCTTCTGAAGCTGAAAACCTAAGCAAAAAGATTATAGAGCTTGAAAAATCTAGGTCTCAAGAGATTAGTGATCTTAGATCTGAATTAAAAATGATGCAAGAGGATTTCAATGAAAAATTTTCCACCCTCCTTAGCCTGATGATCAAAACCAATTCTAGAAACATAGAAAATTCTGAAGAGGAGCCAAGTGAAAATTCTTTTGAAAGCTCAAGTGAAGCAGGTCCCTCTGATCATGTGAAAGCTATCACACTTAGGAGTGGATTAGCTTACAAAGAGCCTGAATTTCCTAAAGATCCCGAAGATTAGGAAAAGGCACTACAAGAAATGTGGGTATTATTAGCGGTCGTTAACCGCTATGAATCGTATAACATAGCGTTTCCTTAAGCGCTCTGACAGCGCCCGTCATCGTAGGTCTGGCACTTTAGATAGCGGACTTGTCGAATGCTATATTTAAGTAAATGCCAATAGCGTTTATGACGCTGCTATTATTAATTTTTATAATAGCATGTATTAATTGTTATGATTTGGTTGTACCTATCTGAATTGTTTGACAAAGATAGCATATATTTTTCTGTTATTAAATTAATTTATAATGACCCGAATTTAGATTTAAATAATTATTTTTAATAATAAAAATTAATTTTGGTTTTATTAAATTGCAAATTATTTTGGTGATAATAATTTCATAACAAAAAATACCATTCATTAATCATTTCCACGTTTACAAATCCAAAATCATCAGCAACCAAAACCAAAAATCATCAACATTTCCATGTTTATTCTATCAATCAACCACTAATAACCCTTCACAATCATCCCTAACATAAACACTATCATCATCAGAATGTTCACCATCGAGATCTTCAACTTCTGGTATAGGTAAAGGTGCAGAACCTAAATCCTCCTCTGTTTCCAACTCATGATAGCCTCTAGGTGGTGCTCTCACAACAACATACCAATTTGAAGAATCATCTTCCCTAGAGTAGAATACTTGTTTCGCTTGAGAAGGTAGAATGAATGGATCTTTCAAATATGCTGCTTGGTTCATATGAAGGTTCACAAGAGTGAAGCCATCTTCTTCTTTCACACCATTCCCTGAGTTGGCCCAATTGCATCTAAACAGAGGTACTTTGAACATGTGATAGTCCATAAGTAGAATCTCCTTTATCACTCCATAATATGTAAGCATATCAGCTACTTGTCTTGTATCTCGTGCACTTGATCTACACATGCTAAATGCTTCATAAGTGACTCCACTGTTTTGTGTCTTCCGCTTAACTGCATCTGTGTGAAATCTCTGCCCATTGACGATGAACCCTTTATGTGCTTGCGCAACATTTCTAGGTCCAAATGCTAACCACTTTATCTCCTTGGAATGTCCTACAGTTGCATCTGAATGAATCTGATCCAGGAAAAAACCACCAATTTCAGAGCAATCAGTAATCTAAAAATCTGAACATGAACATGAACTAACCAATCCGTACATTTACTGAAATGGTAATCAAGAAGAGTGAAGATGACAACCTTTGTTTTAACCCATTGTGCAAACTGCTCTGTATGGTTTTTCCACAACAAAGTTTCATTTTTCTCACATCGAGCATCAGTAGCTTGTAATTCTTCCAAATGCATCCTGAGTTTACAGTAAACAACAACTATGAAAATGAAATACAAATTTTAAATAGAGCTGAAACTAAAAGGATATCCTCTTACCCAACATACGGTTCCATACAAGCCATGTTCATTAGCACATAGCGATGTGCATTGTCTCTATCTTTATCAGAAAGGGTGACCTGTTTACCCTTCTGTAGAGGTCGACCTTGAAGTACCATCCTATCATCCTCAATATCTTCATTACGATTCACTCTTTCTTGAACTGGTACTGAATCTTGAAGGAACTCTAAACAAAATGCAATGCATTCTTCAGATAAATATCCCTCAGCCATACATGCTTCTGGCTTTGCATGATTCTTAACATAAACCTTTAATTTTTTCATGTACCTACAATTCAGTCAACATATATGCATATTAGACTAACATTATTGCATGAATTTCATATAGTAAAGTAATTGAGTACATCAAACCTTTCAAAGGGATACATCCAGCGGAAGTGGACTGGTCCTCCTAAACGTGCCTCTTTTGATAGATGTATTGGAAGGTGGAACATGATATCAAACAAGGATGGAGGGAAGAACCGCTCCAGTTGACACATTGTTTCCACAAACTCAGACTCCATTGTTATGAGTTTCTCTGGGTCAATGATACGCTGGCACAATCTGTTAAAGTAATTGCATAATCTGGTAATAGCAATCCTAGGTCCTCTACGTAACAAACCTCTTAACGCAGCTGGTAACAAGTTTTGTACTAGCACATGATGATCATGCGACTTCAAACTTCCTATATTATGAGGGTTAACTGAAACATTGTTAGCAATATTACCACAATAACCATCACGACCTCTAAACTTAGATAACCTTTGGCAAAAAATGGCCTTCTCTTTCTTGGATAACCAATAGGCTGCTGGAGGTAAGTATGTTTTCTTTCCCCTAACCTCTGAGTGCAAGTGCTTTCTGATTCCAATATCTTCTAAGTCTTTTCTTGCTTTCAAACCATCTTTCGACTTGGCAGTTTGCATCAAGATAGACAATATAGCATCCGAGACATTTTTTTCTACGTGCATCATATCAATATTGTGACGCACAGGCAATTCCTAAGACATTAAACAATAAACTGTTAGGCATATACGTATACAAGAAACTGAGAATATTGTTTAGTTAAGTTACTTTACCTTCCAGTAAGGTAGTTCAAAGAATATTGATCTCTTCTTCCACCGCCATAGATCATTTGATTCTTCACACTCATCTTCTTCAACCAGCTCATCATCTTCCAAATCTGTTCTTTTTCTTTTTTTTTCCTTGTCTAGAGGTCTTCCAAAATCATTCCTAAACGCCTTTACTGTCTCATAAATTTCAGCACCTGTTTGTATCCTATTAGCTCTCCCAACTTCAACAGTGTTGTCAAACCACCCTTTTTTAAATCTGTAAGGATGGCCAGGCGGTAGTCTCTTTCTATTTCCCATGTATACATACTTACGGCTAAAGTTAAGCCACATAGAAGGAGTATCCTTTCCACAGACGATGCAAGCTTGTTTCCCCTTGACTTTACTTCCAGACAATACTCCCAAGGCTGGATAGTCACTGATACTCCAAAGTAGTATGGCTCTAAGTGTGAAGTTCTCCTTCGCAAATGAGTCATACACTTCAATACCCTCAGACCACAAATCTTGTAAATCTTCAATCAAAGGTGCTAAGTAGACATCTATGTTATTACCAGGAGCTGATGGACCAGGGATCAACAAAGTTAACATTATATTCTCAGCCTGCATACACATTGTTGGAGGCGTGTTATAGTTGACCAACAATACTGGCCATGTGCTGTGATTGGTGTTTTGCATAGAGAAAGGGTTCATCCCGTCTGTACAAAGTCCAAGTCTAAGGTTCCTTGGTTCGGCAGCAAAGTCAGGCCATCTGTCATTCACTTGTGCCCAAGATATAGAATCAACAGGATGTCGCATTGTACCATCTTCAGTTGCATTTGTTGAATGCCAACGCAAATGCTCAGCCATCCTTTTTGATCTAAACATCCTCCTAAATCTGTCCTTGATTGGAAAATATCTAAGGATCTTTGCTGGAATCCCTATCTTCATCTCATTACTGTGCTTATCTTTCTCCCATCTTGAAACTTTGCACCTTGGACAGCTTTCTAGCTTTTCAAACTCCTTCCTATATAATATGCAATCATTCCTACAAGCATGAATATTCTCGTACCCAAAACCAAAGACCTTCAGAAACTTTTTGATTGCGTCTGTACTCTTCGGAAGCACATTGTCTTCAGGTAGCATATCTTGAATTAAAACCAACAGCTGATCAAAGTAGTTCTCAGACAAACCACTCTTAACTTTGATTCTGTAGAGTCCCATGATTGCTGCCACCTTTGTGTATTTCACACAAGTAGAGTACAATGGAGTTTCAGCTTCTCTTAACTTCGTCCTGAATTCAGTTTCTTCTAGAGCTTCATCCTCCTCATTTGGTTCCCCATTGTCATTCGGATTACCTTCACCTATACAAAATGCTGTCTTCAACAAATCAAAAGCCTCAGTTTCAGATCCAGGAGCAATATCTTCCGTACAATCTCTTTTCTCACCATGAATACTCCAACAAGAACTCTTATACTTCATATCCATACCCCTAATCACTAGATGCTCAACAATCTTCTCTAATAACTGATGGCTTAAATTGCGGCAATCTCTACAGGGGCATAGCATTTCAGACAGATTACCTAATCTTCTTGCTGATGAATTCACGAAATTAGTCACTCCTTCTGAGTACTCAAGAGTATTCCTACATGGTAAATCGGGAAATAGAAGTTAGCCTAACAAGATAAATTGGGAAATACAATTATAAGATTGAGAGATTGTGTTAAGAAGATCAAACCTTGGCAGGAAAACCCATGCCTTGTCCATATGAAAACGACTGAGATCGAGATATTTCAGTTCGTCTGATAAGAGATGGTGTTACGAAGAATGTGTTATCATGTTAAGAAGAATTGTGTTAGAGATTGTATTAGGGATAAGGAGAGATCGAGATATCGAGAGATTGTGTTGCGAAAGATTGTGGTAGAGATTGTGTTCTTTTTTTTGTCGGCGCCAAAGATTGTGGTAGAGCTAAATTTTTCATCTCAATCTAAATTTTTTCGGAAATTCACCTTTTCCCGGTTAAACGCATTCATCAGTAAAGGACGGCTCAGATTAGAGATGCAAAGGTGGAGAGACATATCCAACGGTGAAGTAAAGGCCACGTCTGCGATCTGCGTATAATTTATTCATTGGTCAATCTGTTTATTCCATTTTTTTAGTTTTAAAATAGGTTTATGGTATTAAAAATACGTATATAATCCAATTTTTTTTTGAAAATTTATAAAAATCAGTTTAAAAATATTCGAAAATTATTTCTTATATTTTGTATTCATATTTCAAATTAAATAATACAAACACTTGTTTGTATCCTACTTTAGGGTATATAGTCTACTTAAACACTTTAGGGTATAGTATTAAGTCAAACACTTAGTTGTAATATGTACAAAGAAGTTTTTAGTATGTTTTATGTTTAATCAAACACTTAGAGTATCAATTCATATAATCCAATAATCAATAATTAATTTTAGGTATAAAGTTAGCATGGTTTAGGGTTTAAGAGTCTACCACTTTAGGGTATAGAATATGGTTTAGCTTTTATGGTATAATTTCATATAATTCGAAAATTAATTAATTTTAGACTTAGAGTATTGGTTTATTTTAAAATCATTTAGGGATTAGGGTATATGTATTTTTAAATAATTTCAGGTAATTAATTGTAAATAATTTAGGGATTAGGGTATAGAAATCTTGAATAAAATCAATTTAGGGATTAGGGTATAGAAATTTTGAATAAAATCAATTTAGGGATTAGGGTATAGAAATTTTGAAATAATTTCAGTAATTTATTATCATATTACTTCTTATATCTTTTAATTTCAAAATTGAAAATTTCAAATACCACATATTAGTGCTAATATCACATAATATAACATAAGTATCAGACTATTACACAAAATACAAAATACATCAAGTTTTAATTAAACGTAAACCATAACCGGAGCAATCAAACCGGACCAGCATATAAGACTATTACACAATCTTAAGTTTCAAATGAACAATATTTTGTCATTTGGCCATGCCACAGTTGAACCTATCGCATCAGAAATGTATTCAATCTCTGAAGTTGGTTTCCAGACCTTTGCAGTACCAATCTTAGCCACTTCAACCCAAACCTTGCTTGCATTTGGACCTAGGGGTACAAAGTGGCACACATCGTTCGGATCCGTTGAAGATACTCTTCCTTCAGCTACCTTTCGTCCAGCGTTGTTGCAGTCTAACAGAAAACACTTACTCTTTGCACTTTTGGTAGAACTATTGCTGCCTGGACCCTACAATTCAAACCAGAAAATAGAATCAAGTATCAACATCAATACAATAGAATCAAGTACCAACATCAATACAACAGACAAACAAATAAAGAAACTTCAAATAAATCGCATACCACTGCTTTTGGCTCAGATCCTTTTAGCTCAGCTGTTTTGTAGGTGTTGCATCTGCAGACATGATTTCAACCTTCAGAACTGGCCATGCAATTTTCTCGTTAATTGCATCACCAATCAAGAACTTATCAGCGGTTGGCCTCCACAAATATGCATCATTTTTATACACCTTCACAACTTCAATACTAACAGCATTCGGACCTAGAGGTATATTGTTAACCATCTCTTTTGAATTAGTTGAGCACATGATTCCTTCACCAATAACCTCCTCCTCTTCATTAGTCCAATCAAATATTTTGCATCTTCGAATATCATCTTCATCGGTTTGCTAAAATGTAAAAAGCTAATGATTAGAGATATGGAAAGGAACTACAAACCAAGATTTACAAACCAAAATTACAAACGACTTACCCTGGATACATCGACAGAAGAGTTTGGAGCCCTGTCTAAAATGACTTTGTCTATTGGCCAAGCTATTTTGCATCCCACAGCTTGCTGAAGAGATGACATATCTACTGTAGGCCTCCAAAGAGAAGCTTCTGGGTTTACTGCAGACTTGACAACAATGGCCACTGCATTGGGACCAATTGGTACACGACCAATTTTGTACATCGGTTCAGCAGTGTAGAATTCTCCAACACCAACAACAACATCTGTTGACTCAAACCAGTCCAGTATTTCTACTCTCACTCCTTCTTTCAAAAACCCACTACTCGCAGATGTTTCAGGATCACCATTACTTTTCTGAAAGAAGGAAAGTGAATTAGTAAATGTCATAATACTAGTTAACCAACTGACATATGAAAATACATAATTACCTTCTTCGCAGCTAACTCGTTGACCATTCCTTTTAACTGTCTAATCTCACTTTCCATATCAGCAATCTTTGCGTCTCTAGAATGCAGAAACGCTAACTTAGTAGCTGTAATCCCTCTGCCAAACCCCCTTACTCGGCCAGGTTTGTCTTTTCCCAAAACCTTGCTCACAGCATCTTCCCTGATATTTTCAGAAGCTGATGTGGAGTCCATTTGACTATCAAGTGACCGTATTTGTTCCTGATACAGATATATGTCCAGATGTTAACTCAATGATCATAATCCATTAATTGTACACAATATCTCAAGTTCAAGAATTCTTACAATAGTCTCAGCAAATTGAGGCTTCACAGGTCTACCATCACCATGAGTGTGTCCCGCAATCCATATCTTACTCCTCGTTACCTTCCTTGGGTCATTACTCTTTTTTTTCTATATAAAATACAGACATATGTTAGTACCATTTTAATTCAAAGTAATTAATAATATAGATGTTTGAGTAACTATTTTACCATATCATGAGCTAATCGAAGCATTCCTTTGCGACTGGTGGTGTGAGGAATCTGATTTCTTCTCAGCTCTCTGTACTTGTCACTTATTACCTACAATATAAATCTGAATCAGTTTAAATCTATAAGACAATATTACATGTAAACAAGAGAGTGTCTTATTTAAAGATGGCTAACTAACGTTGAAATTTGTGCTACACTTGCTCCTAACCCAAGAGTTCCATACTTGAATGGATGGGATGTTGCTGGGTTTTAAAGCTATTCTCTCAGCAGCAGTCTTCGCAGCTCGTACTTCTGTCACTAGCCTTGACTTCCCAGCCCTCCACAAACTTCCCAACTGCTTTATAATAACAGCTTTCTGCCACTCTTCATGCACGTTAAACCTCCCTTGCAACATAATTTGCAGAGGTCAAACATGTTTACAATTTCATATATAGTTATTAACAAAACGTAATATGCAAATATACCTGAATTTCCTCCCACATTGTGTCTCTTGTCACTGGATCAAGTTGTCTCCAATCACTAAGAGTAACCGGAACGTGTTCCCTCACAAGAGGACCAAGAAAAGATGATAGTGTTACTGAACCAGGTCCAACATGATCACCACACTCAGTGAATGTAACTTCAACCTTTTCTTGAGGATTTTCAGCCACCTTCCGCATCTTTGTTGGTCCTCTTCTCTTTTTTTCCTTCACTACATCTTCTCTTTGTTGGTCCACATCTTTTTCTTGAGTGTTACCATTGGTAACTCCATCTTGTTCCATATCGACAACTTCTTCTTCATTTTCATTATGTTCCTGTCCAGGATTCAAACCATCTTCTGCTTCCTTCTCAGAAACTTCTAACTCAGGAGCTTGATGATTAGACTCTTGTTCCTCTGAAACTGCTTTGTCATGAACTTCTTTCTTAGAAACTTCATCTTCGGATTCCTCATTATAATCATCTTCCCCATTGGAAGCTGACAAGCTAATAGGCGTAGGATCTTCTACCTCTTCACATGGCACTTTCTTTTTTCTACCACCATTGCTTTTCTTAGCAACCTTTTTTCCTCTCTTCACCTTCAGTGTTGTTGCAGGTGTGGCCTCCAAGCCTTGATTACGTCGACTACGACGGGAAGCAACTTGTGATCCTCCTCTTGTCTTTACCATATCTGAAATGGATGAATACAGAAAATGAAACTCAAACTCAATCCAAACTAAATAATCAAAAACTCCAACAAGATAAAAGATTCAAAACCCAAAAAATCAAAATCTTCTCCTTAATATATATACAACTCGAAATCAAACTAACTTTTCGACAGAACCCAACATGCAACCAAACAAGATAAAAATCGATGAACCCCCAAATCATAAGAGTGAATCGAGTGAGAACAAACCTTTTTCATTCGATCGACAATGAAGCTTCGATTGGATCGGATGGATTCGATTCGATGGATTCGATTTGATGGATTCGACTCGCCAAAGGAATACAGAGAGAGAAAGGAAGACAGAGAGAGAGAGTTAAGGATTTTCTGAGAAACAATGAAGAAATAATTTGGATATACGTTATTTGGGGTTGACGGAAAAAAGAAGACTTATATAATGTTGATTTATTTTAGACGTAACATAGCGTTTTTTTTTATCAGCAATTGTAAGGTGCCCGCCCTTACCAAATTTACGCGGCCAATAGTTTTTATTTTCCCGCGATACAAAGTATAGCGTTTTATAAAAATAAACACTATAAAAAAAACCCGTCTCCGTATACAATAGCAGAACTGTCAAAAATGCTATCTTCCGATGCTATTAATACTCACATTTCTTGTAGTGTTAGGAGCTATGCTGAATCAATAGCTTGATTTCCAAGTTGTTACGGAAGCTACCCTGTACAAGAAGATCGATGACCTCACTCACCATGTGAAATCGCTGGAAGATCTGCACTCTCAAGATATTGCTACTTTAAAAAGGAAGATATATGCTTTCGAGGAAGAACAGCCAAGACAGAAGTATGGTATCCTTCAAGGATCCATCGATGCCAAGGCTGCCAAACTAGAGATTAAGGAGGCTAATGAAATCGCTTTATGGTAC